CCTAGTGATTAATTAGTGGTTAGTTTAGGTCAACTTCAACGGAGTAAAATTCAAGTTAGGCAGTTCGGAAACGCGTTTCTTGAAGTTATCGAATAGTTAAATGTAGCTGGGATACCGGACATAAGACGTTGTAGGTGGTTACACATCACTTGAAATTGAATCAAACTAGAATTACGCTATCCTTGAGTTGTGCAAGTTTTACGTCTGGGCGTTCGAAATTTATTATAAAGCTTACTATGTTTTATAAGGTAAGTACAGTAGGACTTGCTGGCAATATTCCATCTATGTCGAGATAGCTCTTCGAACATGTACTCTCTACATTATGCAGTAGTTAGTGCAGATAATACGCCTATATATTTATTTAATCAAAATATTTATAGCACTAAAATTACCATTTGTTAGATTAATGCGTAATTAAGCTCTCTGCAAGATTTTTTTCTGTATTATCAGAGCCTACTGTACATCTAATACATCATGTTTTTTACAGAAATAAGTTCTCCAACTGCCTTATACAAAATTTTAAATGTATGCGTTAAACTTAACTGCTCAATAAAATATCATTTTTGAGAAACGGGTCATCAAATAAGACGGAAAGCAAGTATTCAAGCTGTAAAATTCACGTTTGACGTTTATTACATAAATGACAGCTAAAATTATTGTTAATTCTAATAAAATAAACAATAAATTGAATTGACTTATGATTTGAGTGAAATACGGATTATGGCAACAAACACAAATCAAACCAAATTGTGGGGCAAGTATTGTTTATTCTAATTGTTTTTCTGCACTTAGTCTCGATTCTATTTCAGTTACCGAAATTCAGTTAAAATGTATACTTCAAAATGAATATATTGTGATTATTTTTTTCTTTTGTAATTTTTTAATCATACTAATGTTATAAATGCGAAAGTTTAGACGTATGGATGGATGGATGTTTGTTAGAGTTTGTAGCCTAAACGGCTGAACGGATCTTGATGAAATTTAGCATAGATGTAGGGGATAGTCTGGAAGAAAACATGTGTTACTTGCTTATGTTTCTTTTAACTTCACGCAGACAAAGTTGCGGGCGAAAGCTTGTAAAGTATAATTTTAACTGTTATTATTTTTTGTAATGTGAATATTTTTATGTTTGAATCGTTTTTAAGATGCGTGTTAAGTTTGTTATCTTAAATCTAAACCCATCTCACAACTAAATCGCAGTAAACAACAGCTTACGAGAATTTTATGTGCACTTGCGTTGATCTTCAAATGATCAATGGTATATGTTGGTGTCGTTTATCGCCGGTAAGTCGTTGATGACGTCAATTGTCGAAAGAGAGAAGTAAGGAGATGTTTAGTACATCCTGTTATATCTTATAGTATTTATACTTGTCGTGTAGAAGGGTAATAAAAAAATAAAAGTTTAGAAATAGATGGTATGGTGGTACCATTTATTCATGGCCAAGATGAAGACTAGTAAAGTTAATCTTACTTACTAATACTATAAATGCCAAAATTTAGATGGATTGGATGCACAACTGGATGCAAAAGTTTGTAGCCTAAATGGATTATCGGATCTCTATGAAATTTGGTACAGAGGTAGAGGATAGTCTGGAAGATAACACAGGCTACTATTTTTTTTAATTCCAGGCATACGGAATCGCGGGCAAAAGCTAATACCCTAACTAATTTCTATAAGTCACATAACGATATATGTAGAATTTCTGAAATTTTTAAAAATTATATTACGAGCACGTACTAATGCTTAAGTTTAAGGTACTACTATGCTTAATACTAAAAAATTGTAACTGTACGTGTTTTGTTGCTTCCTAGTTACTAGTAGGTATAATTTTACATCTGTATGTGAAGAAGAACTTATTGTTTTAATTTAATATAGTTTATCATTCTCGTAATGATAGTTCCTTGGCATGAAGACAATTTGTGCTAAAGCGATTACGTGCGCTGAAAGTTATAATATAAAATTGGCTCTACACTCTGGTTACGTTAGCCTGTTTATTTCAAAATAATCTTAGTGCATGGCTTGATGTTGGAGTTCATTTTACAATATAACTATAAGCAGCCTGTGTACTGTTGATGAACAGAAACTGAAGGATATAAAATTTGTTTCTCGTCTACACATCAATTTGTAAAATTGTTTTACTGTTAATTATAATAATATCGACCAGTAGTCACCACAAGCTTTTATTCATTTGTCCCAAGAAGCAAGAACGTGTGTACCTCTTCCATCATTAGCCACTGTTAATGAGTCTTCGAACTGCGATTCTTTGTGTAAATAACACTTTTAATTCAACAAATTCAAACATTAGGAAGGTTCAAAATTAGATTAATTAAATTTAATCACGAAAGTTGAAAAATTGTTTCAACACTAAAAGCCTTAGATTAGCAACAGAATCAATGGTCAGAAAAGCGATCTTGTCCCTTGAGAAATAATTTAAATACAGCCTTATCTTTTGAAAGTACATTTACTTGTTATTTAAAGCGGTTAGTGGTTGCGGTCTAAATTTAAACGAGGACAGGATTTGGTGCATTTGGAGCTTGAAATATTTCAATGAGATACTGTTATTGGATAAAATTCTCAGACTTAGATATTTTGAAGGTCAAAGCTATTGACTTCACATATTTTATCAATAACTTTGAAATAAATTATTTATTAATATGATAACTTAATATTGATATCTTTATTCATTAGAATTATTTGCAAGGTAGCAGTTTTGCTGTTGTTTATTGTTCAGGCTTAATGCTACGTTATAATATTAGAATATTTGTATTGCACAATGTCTAAATGTGATAAATATATAGTATATTTAGCTCTATATGATAATTCAGTACTCGAAGTTGAAAGTTTTCGTATGATATGTTTATTTGATTAAAAAACATTGTTTTCTAATTAACTTATCCACATTATTTGATTAAATAGGAAGTCTTAAAGAAAACCAAATACTTTACAGCATAAAAGTTACTACTTCTATTAGTAGTTCCCGAAAACTATACAATAGACAAAGTTTGCATTTTTTTTTGTTGTCGCGGGGAATGCATTTACGCACTGCACTGTCCGTGCTGCGGAGGCAGCAGGGGCAGTTTCGTGTGGGACTCCCGGCCTTATATTTCGGCCGGACTACCCACTAAACCCCGCGGTGTTCTCCTTCGCCCAACCGGGCCGTGGCAACTACGTTAGTTTATCCATGACCCGGCTAGGGGGAGCCCCTTGGTAGGGGCTCGATCACCCTATGATGATGGCCCCCTCGGAACACAACAGGGGGCACATCCGCTACATTAAGCGCGACAGGTCCCCCGACAAAGAATGCAAATTTGAAATAAAGACAATATTGGATAAGACTTTATACCTAGAACACATAATGTCGAAACTTGTTGCGTAACCTTTTACGTAGAAATAATTTCTCAATTGATTTGTTAGTTAGAAATTGAAACTAAGATTAATCAATTTTTATTATACAAATTCAATTAAAGATAACATTTTAATTTGTTGTTTCGTTGTTAATATTAAAAATTAGATACTAAGAGTTAGTCTGTAATTATTGGTTGCTGTATCAAATATGATTTGGAAAAAATTGTGTTTGTTCTTTATTTTAAGTATGAATTATGTTGAATGTCAAAAAGAAATAATCAGTCTTGCGGATCTTAATCAACGAGTACGCGATGCGACCGAAAGCAACGTTATAATTATTATAATACGTGACAGTAGATCGGAAGAAGATAATTTCTTCAGTGATAATAGTCTAAGACAAACGGGCGCGAACTTACCTAAGAAAAGAATGCTACCCAAACATGTTTACAACTTATATTACACTGAAGTTGACAAAAGTGGTAACGAAGTTTATAAAAGGTGGCTATATAATTTAAGAGACGTTGTATTGTTGCTTCGAGAGAGATTTAATATTGCTATACACTGAAAATATGTGTTTTATTTCTTTCATACCAAATAATGGATAAAAACTGCTATTCTTACAGCATAGAAATACTAGAAAAACACAATTTTTGTCTAACAACTATTCAAGAAGAAACCATTCGTTGATAATTTGAACATATATTTATAGGTGGATGCAATATCACCTGTGGTTTTAAAATAGCAATAGACATGTTCTAAACATTTGATAGTTGTTTATAAAAATAAGATACCGCCGACTAATTAGCCACATATGTCTATTGCCTTTGCTTCCATTACAAAATAACTGTATGAAATCTTGTTGACATCCAGTCTTCAAAATGTAACAACGGTGCTTAAGCACAAGAAACCTATCGGTATAATTATTAATCCTAGACTTGGTTAGCGCATGCTATCTGTATTTTTAAAGGATGTATGATAGATGTTTTAAAAGATATATGGGATAGGATGTAAAACGTACAAGTCGAAGGAATGGCTTTTTTAACAGTAAAAAAAAATATTTCTTTATTAAACAGTTAACTTGTTAAACATAAATGTATCAAAACGAATGCAGGTGATAAATACGTAAATACTATGATGGTATCAGCTGAGATTTATGTAAGAAAAGCATTTCATAATTTTTAAGTGTTCATTTATTTCTCCCATAGCGGTAAGGTAATAAGCGCTGTGTAATTCTTTGGTTTGTTACTGTGTTAAATTTGCGGAACCCATAAACTTGTTTCCGTATTTATTATTACTTCAAAATGAATATTTTAAAAAGTTTGTGCGTAAGTAACTGTACATATCATATTTTAGTATGATTTATAATTTGACGTGGGTATTTTATATTTATGAGAAAGTTAATAATCGATAACATTCTATTGACTTAGATTTCTAGGGATTTTCCACAAAATATTAAAAGGATTAAGAACTTTAGATAATAATTATTTTTTTTACATTAATTGATAATAACTTTAGATAAGAAACGTAAGGATAAATAATTCTCTTATTAGTCCGGCTGTTAGACATGGCAATTAGGATAAACAGCCAAAGACTAGGAAGGTAAAATTTCATATACCTCTCGATAATGGCCGCATGTAAACAGTACAAAGCCCAAGGTGTGCAGTTTCAAGATAGATATTTTGGATGTCCAGTTACTCGGCATTCGGCTGAGGAGAATAAATACCATTACTAACAAAAAATATCTAATACATTAAAAACTCGTTACAACTTTTTTTGCAGATTTTTTATTCAATTGTAATTATAGGATGCACAATAAACGATACGATCCACGAGAAACAGATGAGGTAAGACAAAGAGCAAATTATAAATAAAAAACTGTTTTTTTTTATACTGATATGAATTTGTGGTTGTCTACGTTCGAATTTCAAACTTTGTCCTTTTGAAGTGGTGAGTTATGAAGTGTATTATAGTAAATTTGAAAAATACGTCGTTCAGATTAGTCCAAACATTTTATTAAACGGTTATTTAAATAATGATGACAAAAAAAGTAAGTGAATTCCGATAATTTTCAAATTCCCAGTAAAGGTGTAGTTTTACTTTGCTTTCTCGGATATGCATACCAAAATAATTTATGTTTGCGTTTTTTTCCTCGTATGTCCTTTGGTAAAAGAAATGACTATAGGCAAATATGGGGTCATCGAAACAAGATGTTTTTTTTTTCACTTAAATGTGCGGAACTCCGACATGCGGGATATTATTTTGTACCAAACAATTTGTCTGGACTGTTATTATGTCAAACTCAACGTATAATTTTTTACACGATATTCAGATGTAAGAAATTAGTTTTTTCCTCGTCATAAAATTATTTTATTTGTCGCGTTGTACAAGAACAAGGCATGACTTGTACTGACACAGTAATGCAAAAGAACTTTAGCTAATAAACATAATTTTTGTTTCAGCAATCTTGTATTTCGAAATAACACACATAAAAATACATCATTTGTTTTGAAAGAAAACCGCAAATCAGTTATTATTATTAATAAGCACGAAGCTTTACGGAACGGTGCTAATAGTGGCTCAGTAAACAACTTATTATACATAGATTATGACGATCATGGAAATAAATTAAATGAATTTTGGATGTATAACCTAGATGATGTTGCCATGTTCTTTGAAATATTCTTAGACACAAGAATTTGTCAAACAGTATGTGATGATTGAGCACTTATTGTAATAAATAATGAATCTATACACAGTTATTTAAAACTATTTATCCTACTAAAGATGCCAATAAACCTGGGGGAATATCACTTCGGTCTGATATACCGCCATAATTCTGAAAAAATATAAAAACAAGTATTTAAAACGTGATAAAAGCGTTTAACTTGGTCTTTAGTATAGTTTATGTCGAAGACAATTAATAAAATAATTATTTGTAGCTGTAAAAAGCGTTTAATTCTCCTTTTTTATATAATAAAAGGGGGCAAATGAGCGGAGTGAACACCGAGGTGGTCAAGTGTTTAAGTAAGTCTTTATCAGGATTTTAATGAAATATAGAAAAGTTAAAATAGTACCCGTATAATATGGATATTTTAACATGAAAGTATAGTTCCGGAACTAAATTTATTCCAGGAATGCTAGATTTATTTATTTCTAATCGTGATTATGTATGAGTAATACTAAAGAATTACCTCATCATCGTATTCTGACGTCACTGTTGAATTCTCGTTAGATCGATCGATGTCAGTAGTAATTTCATTTATGTTTGTCGTAGTTTCCTCCTTACAATTTTCTTTATCTATAGAGTTTTTCCCTTCACAATCTATTTCAATTAATTTTGGGTCAACTACATTCTCAATATCTGGTGCCTGTGAAATATTTTTATTGCTATAACATTATTGAAATGAATAACTGAAAGTGCTTTATTGTTTGGACTTACCTTATTTATTTCGTCAATGTTATGAGCTTCGCTATGATTTCTCTTTTCGATTACAGATTTGGATAACTGTTTATCTGCGTAATTATCTGGTATAGGTTTTGATATTAATTTTGGAGATGATTTAACGTTGTCATAATTTCCTGTATTATCTCGATTGAAAACTATACGATACACGTTGAATCCTGGTATTCTTATTGATTTGATTAAATTTCCAATACTGGGTACTTCATCGCCCCTTGTGTAATGATTATTAGCTAAAAATGTACTACAAGACAAATTTATTGAAGGCTTCATAGATATAAATTAATTAATAATAGAAATGTATGTACATACAATTTAATATCTCCTGCCGCATAATTCGAAGATTGTTGTTCTAAGTTATTAACAGTACCAGTCGGTATTGGATGATATATCGTTGTTTTACGTATAACAAAACTGACAGCAAAGTTCAATAAGTTGAGATGTAAAAGTAATAATAGAACCTGTAAATAAATAAAATAACTTTAAACCACGAACTAACAAAAACGCTTGTTTGTAACTACTTATCTAAAATAATTGCAATCATTAAGTACGAAGTATTTTAACGGATTTGAATTGAAATAATTAGTCGCTTTTAGTTTTAAATAGCTCTTCTCTCTTACCTTCATATCTTTGTTGTATTTTTTCCGAGAATAAATCAGTCAGAACTTTGAGTTGTCACTTGGACTTGCAATAGAATTGTTAGATCTCTTGACTTGAAATAACAGTTAACAATGACGTCACAAATACGTCTTCAATTTTTACCGCACAGTTACAAAACTCTGCTCCACTTCACTAACTTAAAACTTAAATGAGCGGTGTATCCATTATGCGGTTCGAGTTTTTGTTGTTATCTGATTCATTTGCCTTGATCTTTAGGATTCCTCAGTACACCTTACAATCGAAATTTATACTGCTAAATTTTCAATAAGAGTGCAGTATTTAAATTACAGTTTAATATGGTCATTAAATTTTTCGTATTTTCACACAAATTATTAAATTTTTTCGTATTTTTATTACGTGAAATATCACGAATTTACAAAAAATAAGAAAAACATTAAAAACTAAATACGGAACCATAAAGTGCAATGTTCAACCTCGACTTACTTGATCACTTATTTATCTATTTCTAATTTATTTAATAAATACTAAACGTAAATCATCTATTTTTACATAATTATAGAAAACTAAACTAAACACGATTATAAACAACTAAATCCTTTAAATTAATAAAAATTTAATAGCTTGGTAATCTATATTAATATTTTACGAAGGATTTATTGTTCCCATAACGAAAATCTGACTTTTTAAAACAATTTAAAAAATTCCATTACAAAGGTAGGTCTTTTAACGGATTTTGTAGAATATTTTTTCATTGCTATTTTCATAATTCTATATTCCATATTTTATTTTATAGTCGGACTATTTACATTACTATAACTAGTAAAGAATAGTAATTTTTAAGTTGTTTCAACTTTTATTATAAGCAGCTATCAAATTAAATAAAACACAAAAAAAAAATCCCGATCTTAATTTTTTCTATAGTCACGAAGTCTTGAGTTCTGTCTACGTGGAACGCAGGCACACCTTCTCTTCTTTTGTATTGGAGCTCGACAATTTGTTAAACTTTTTGACATATTATTAGCTAAACGATATCTTCCATTTTCCATCTGTAGTAAGCCCATCCTCACACCACGCTTTAACGCCCTATTAAAAATAAACTTAATCAAACTTTTTTCGCATTTTTGATAACTGAATACTTAAAGTTAATCGATAATTGCTTCTGAAACAGCGTAAACTCCGACATAAACAATAAACAACTCATTTCATATGGTTACCACAATCTACCTGTAAGTGGTTTTATAATACGAACATGAGTATTCGAAAAATAGAAATAAAACGTATGTAGCTGGTTCTCTACATTTTCTAAATCATTAATTTGATTTTAATGAAAATCTAAGAAAGCCTATGCAGAGTAGTTTCGCAAAACGATTCAATAAAGTAAAAACTGGTAAAAAATTACGTATAGTTTTGTTAATGCTTGTACATTTTAAGTATTTGAATATTACTGAAGCACCAATATTACCTAGAGACCTTCCTGTTAATCCTTGGATCTGATATTTTGTATTCCAATTTAATGAATTTAATGATCGTGCGGCAAGTCCATCCGGTGTTCTTCATTAATTTCTTTAACGCTGAAAAAACTATTTCCCCTGTTTTTGGCTTGGGTTTTGTCATTTCTGTGAATTTATTAAATTTCATACAGAAAAAATTTCAAAATTCCTTTCAAATAACCTTGATACAAAAATTATACTGATATTACTTGGTATATTGCAGAGTCAATTTGGAATTACAAAAAACAGCGCATGTCGTATGATGGCGTTTTCGATGACACAACATTTTTTAATTTTCTTTTAATGTCATTTGGATTTCAGCGGGGTTTTCCAAGAAGAATTTATTTTATATGATTTTTCGTATAAATTATCTAAGTTTCAAATGTCCACAGGTCATCTTACTTCTTACTAATATTATAAATGCGAAAGTTATGATGGATGGTTGGATGGATGGATGTTTGTTAGAGCTTGTAGCCCAAACGGCTGAACGGATCTAAATGAAATTTGGCAGAACACATAGGCTACTCAATTTTTTTTTTTAATTCTACGCGGACTGAGTCGCGGGCGAAAGCTGGTCAGTATATAAAATTAAATAACGACAACTGCTTGATAACTTCGATCTGCTTTAAACGTGAAAGAAACTTGTTGTTTAATCAATTTTACGAGTACATCGCTGTAATTTGGTCGATGTCGACGATTATGTAATGTGATTACCGATTACCAATTATTTCAGTTGTTTACACAAGATGTAAATTCAATGTAGTTTTGATGCTCTTTACCATATGCGAAAGCTATTAGGAGTTCATTGAGTAAAAGAAACTATTAACAAAAGATCCTAATTATTTTATTTGTAATGACTATTTAACCAAGGAGAGAAGCGACAACGCCAGGTGGTACGCCTCCGCCTGGTCCTTGTTCGATGGTTGGCTTGAAACCGTTATCGTCGGCGGTGTAGGTGATAGTATATACCACGCCATCAGGTCCTTGCCACGAGTAAGATCCTTTGACGGCCACGAACTCATCGTCAGTCCCCGCGTTCCTCAATTCACCTTGTTCCTCTTTCTTCGTGCCGTCACTTTGTTCAAATCTGTAAGGAAAAATTTACCTTGTAATGGTTTTGAATTTTGATTTCCTATTCGGAGAATAACTACCACCATGTTATCTTTCTTGAAAACGGTAAATATCTGATATTATTTCTTTCGTTTCTTTTGTAGGTACTACTGTAACTTTTTATAGAGATAAAAAGTCAATACAGTTTATAGAATGAAAGGGAGTTTGGCATTGAAGGAATTACTTTGTAGTGAAGCAAATTTTGCTGATGAAAATGGAGCGTCGGTGGCTCAGTGGTTTGAACACTTGACTTGTAATCTACATGTCTTGGGTTCGAATCCCGCCGTGTACCAATGTGATTTTCGATTTTTCGAATTTTCATATGTACATAATTTATCCGACGTTCTTACGGTGAAGGAAAACATCGTGATGCAACCTGCACATATCGGCGAAGAAATTCAAAGATATGTGTTAAGTCAACCAACCCGCACTGGGCCACCGTGGTTGACTATGGCCTAGTCACCCCATATTAGGGTAGGCTCCGAGCCCCTCGGTGGGGACGTATAGTGAGCTGGTGATGATGATGATGTGATGAAGCAAATTTTTCTCGAAATAGACGTAAAGACCGTGCTTTGTAACTTTGTATAGTAATTTAGTAAGAATTATAATTTTAAAGATTGTAGAAACTTATCTACAGATCGAGAAACTTCTATTTCAGTTTCAATTTTATTTGTTAAAAGAATAGCTTAAAGCGATTTGAAAATGTTATATATAATTGTACAAAACGTTTATAAGGTATACGGGATATTGTCATAAACATTAATGACTTTGTTTATATTTCGTGATATCTAAAATCTTTAAACCTTCGACCGTTAATTTTAATAGCAATATTTTATAACAGGAAATAATGGTTTTGAGTTCAAAGTACTTGTATGTCCGCATTCCATGAGACGCGTTAAATTGATAAAGTATAGTTAGATAAGCTTAATTTTTTTGTTATTTTGCTGTTAAAATCATAAACTCTTGTTGTAATGTAGAAATAAACATCTTTGATATTGGCGCATACTTACGCAAAATTATAAGAGCCGAGACCATCGTTGCTGGAATCGAACCTGAGAATTTGAACTTCTTCGTTCGGAGCCGAGCGTGACGCTGCTTGAGGTGCTGCGGCTGCAACGGTCAACAGGGAGAGGACTACAAACTGGGAACACAAAGAAAAATACAATTAATTCAGTACCATTGGAAGTACGTAGAAAGATCTTACTGCCAATTACAAAAAGATAAAGCCATAGCCGGTAGTTTAAAAGCTAACTGCCGCATTTAAAAATGTTTAGTAACCATTTCCCTTACTTCAGATTTTTCATACTAATTTTACACTATGGGTTGTCATGGTGATTATGAAAAAAATTGGGTGTGATAGAAAAACAAAAAGGATATTCCTAGTCTATGATGTGATAAGCGCATTTAGACAATTATGGTTAATTGATGAGTTTATTTAGAAAACATCGAAGTTAGTAAGATTTTTCATATAAAAATGCTCATTTTTATACATTTTAATGTGATAAGATTATTTAAATTACTAAAACATTCTTGCTTTAAGTGTTTTGGATAACAGTTATTGAAACGATTGACAATGAAGAACACCGTTAGATACGGTTAGTTTGAGTTGTAAGTTCTACTCGTATTTAACTTTTTCCTACATTTCTGGCAAATACGAATAGCAACTGCTTTTCAACAGAAAGTAAACCTATAACACTGCACCAATTTTAACAGCTCGTATGCATATTATTGCAGATATGCTAGTTTTTCGTAGTATAAGGATTTTTATTTAGCTGTGACAGTCCATAGTTTAGTACTTACTACCCTAGCTAACCGTAACATCATGTCACTATAGGATACGACAATTTTGCCATATCCAGAAACATGGTTTGCTTATGGACAATTTACTATTAAGTATTAAGTTAAGGTTACACTCCACTGTACAGTCACTTTAATAGTACACTACACTTTTAAATTTCACAGTTTTACCCACCAATTTCATGATTAGACGCGTACGAGTTTCACTTAATCGATCCAATCGAAGTGTGTGTGTCTGTCTAAGCAAACACATTTTATATACTATGTGTTATGTTCTATTGCAACATACTTACATGCGTTTATCTCGTCAACATTGTATGGTTGACCAGTGCAAGATGTCGCGATGAGACCTTGGCTAATTCGAAGATTACTATGATGGTTGGCCTTTTGTAATATTTTTCATTCTTTATAGAGATATGCTTCATAATAATTAGTTGTGTTTGAACGTCGTATAGCAATATAAAACAATTATATCTTATCTTAAACTTATTTATTACCCGTAGGGTTATGAGGTTCAAAAATCATATTTTAAAAATAGGATCTTTCGATACTTACAAATAAAAAATTATCGATTCATAAGAAATATTTAGAGAATTTAAGACAGTGAAATCTTGAAAATTAAGTCTAAAAATTAAAATGAAAAGTTTTCTAACTAAGAAGTCTTTTCTTATTTGTTGTCTACGGGGTAAGTATGTTAATCAAAAGTATAACAATCGACCAAAAAATGAAAATATTGAAACATCTTAGGTCAGGGATATAATGGAGAATATTTAGAATATGTATGTATATATGACACAAAATTATCCACTCATTTGTTTTTAAAGGTTAGGAGGCTGATGCGTTTTAACCTTTAGGGTATTAATGTAATAACAATCATTTGAATAACATTGACTTTTTGATTAAGCGAATTACAAGCACTTATAATATTTACATAATATGTATTTTGTACATGTAACCTATGCCTTTTCTTAATCAATATAACAACAAGAATATTTGTATAGTATTAATCGCATTATTAAATAGCAAAGTTCATGTTTAGTTAAAAAATATTGTATTGAAAGATTAATTAAGAGCAAAATTATATAAACAAATATTAGCTATTTTTTAACCACAGGTAATTTCTTTATTGCTTACGTTAATAGTGAATTTATTAAAAAAAAAACACATCTGAAGCTTTCATTAACTCATTCATTTATAATTGAAACATTGGTCAACATATTTTCGTATTTGCTAAGGTTGAAATTGTTGTCATAGGAAACATTAGAGTAAATATTTTAGTACAGGTTTTATTAAAACTTTTCGCATGATAATGTATATGTATCCATTCAATAAACTAGATAGATATTAAAAAGAAGCTGCGACTCTGTCCAATTCATCCTCGGTAAAGCAAAGCAACATGAAACAATAAACGCGTCGTCTATCAACGTGGCTTTCTATAGCCACAGATGAATAATAACTGTTCTCTTCTGGTAAATATCGGTCTACGTCAATTTTACAAATCTGTAAAAATACAGAAAAAATTATCAACATCACTACCGTATTTTGTATTAAAATCTTATTTCTTCTTACTATTTCAATCATTCTTAATACTAATATTATAAATGCGAAAGTTTAGATGGATGTTTGTTAAAGTTTGTAGCCTAAACAGCTAAACGGTTTTCGATGAAATTTGGTATAAATGTAGAAGATAGTCTGGGAGAACACATAGGCTACTCACTTTTGTGTTTTTTAATTACTCGCCGACGGAGTCGCGAGCGAAACCTAGTAAAAAACAAAAGGAAGATAACCTTTTTATTGCTTCTGTTGTAACAGATCATTTCTTCAAAATGGCTGTTTAATTTACTTTTAGGATGAAGGAAATAACTTTTCAGTTCAGTGTACCGACCTAAATGCTGAAATATGAACATTTCGGTAACGCAACATGTTATGAACGTTTGAAGTATTCCATATAGTTTTTCACGCGACTTCGTTCGTACAATTTAAAAATAATGAAAAAGAAATGAAAAATCTAACCTCTCACAGATAAATTATCTTTTTAACGGTGAAAGAATTTTTGAAATCGGCCTAGTAGTTTTTGAGCCTTATTTATTACAATAAAACAAAGGTTTCCTCTTTACAATATTATTAGTATAGATTTTTGTCTCTAACGTCTCATCATTTTTCTAGACAATAAAGTACGAGATCAGTGTTTATTCCTGGTTTTCCTTTAGAATATTTTCTGTTATATTTATGAGAAGTTTTGTATAAGAATTACCTCAGGAAACGGTGAACCGCTTCGTCTTACTGTATCCATTGGAAATTCGTTAGGAAAAAGTCTCCTAAGCTCCTCATCTTCGCTAAATAAAACATTTTAACTTTTGTTTTGAAATAAAAAAAATAAAGAAAAAGACATACTTTTCGACACTTACTACGTGTAGATAACTGCTTGTGAATTTATTATTAGAATTAGAAAACACTGAAATATGATTTTAATGTGAGATAATTGCAAAAAAAAATACGAATATTTATTTAATTCGTAATTTTTTTTTTATACTTACCAAACATGAAAATATATGAACAGTATTTCTTAACATAACGTTTGACGCAAAACACTTTTACGACTGCTTAAAAATATTAGGTTTTATTCTACAACAAGCAATAAAACTACATTTTATAATAAAACAGTTTATTTCGATGTAAGGAAATTTCTCTATTTTGTTTTAAAAGATTTAGGTATGTTCTAAAATTCAACAGTGAAAAGTGAAAAAATAAAAGCAAATTTCATTCTTCTTTTAGGTGAAAGATTTTTTTGATTACTTTAAAAATGAAAAAATATAAAAATCATTTATAATTTTATGACACTTATCTACTAATTTAATTTTTATTTATCCAAGCATAGATGCGACTACAGCATCGGGAACACTTCCTCCAGGGCCCTGTTCTATCACAGGCTGGTATCCATTGTCATCGGCTTTGTATTTAGTAGTGTACCTCACACCGTCGCTGCCAATATACGAGTAAAAGCCATTAACGGATAGAAAGTCATCTCCACCTTTGTTTATAAATTGGCCTTCTTGTTCTTGCTTCGTGCCGTCTAATTGTTCAAACCTGAAAATGATAATAGAAACTTATTGATCTTAAGTATTGGCCATAGACTTGTAAATGAAAAGAGGGAACAGCGGTCTAGTGTGTAATTAGTATCTTAATTTTAAGTTAGATGGCCTTTTTAAATATATTTAATAGCACGCATATTTACAATTTTTGGTTAACACATTTTTATTCGCTTCAAAAATATTGTTCTATGTTTAAATTGAGTTTTAATAGAAGTGTAACTTACCCAAATCTGTAAGCAATTCTCTGACTATTATAATAATCTCTTCTAAAGTTGTCAAATCGCAAAAATTTGTCCTCGTTGTCATAGCAGTCACTTACACTATCCAAGAAAGATGGGGCTGGTACTGCGTACACGATCCCCAGTAAACACAGTAGCACTACCTATAGAATAAAATTATTAATTATTTATACACTTTCGTAATTACAGAATAACCGGCACACATTTCTTTACACTTTAACATGCCTACAATATACAAATTCTCGAATACATACACTTAAATACAAACTTTATCATTTAAAAAAATGCATATCTTAGTATAATTATATTGCCATGTTTCTTTAACAAAATTTCCCTTACCAATTTCATTTTTACAGTTGATTGTTCGTTGAAGCTTAAAGGTAAAATAAACGTTTTATACATTCTTCGCAAAATTTATATCTTAATAAGATGTATAGTTTTGTTGTAAATCTTAACTAAGAAGCAGCAATGAAGGTAAACTACTCGACTTTGTTAAAAATAAGAAATACAAAACTACCAGATCGTGGCAGTTATTTCCCTGAAACAAAACTAAGAAAGATCGTTATTTTAAGAAGTACATAAATGTATAATGTCAACGTTATTTCTTAATATAGTAGAGCATAATTTACGTACAGTCCAAGTAAACAGTGTTTGTCTACTTAATAATATTTCCTTAGGCTCTTCGTACACAATAAACTAGTATTGCATACCTGCGTCGCGATTATCTCGTAGCGGTCCGTACACACAGTTTTCAATTATCAAAGCAAAACGTCTATTTGGTTAGTACAGCCATAGCGATTACACGGCTGAGACAAATTTATCTGTGAAAATAAACTGTGCCATGCAAATCGTATCAACTTTTTTACCGTTGACAAATAACTAGCTAGTGACTGTTGATAGCGAAGATATGTCGGCGACCCGTGCCTCTGTGCGAACGTCTATGAAATTATATTACGTAAGTCGCATAGCGACTATAATCGTCAGGTTTTGAATATTTATCGCATCGTGTACGAAGTGCCTAACCCTTAAGATATTGACAAATATCAACAGAATATATTTGGAAACAGTTAAAATTAGCCGTAAGCTTTCATTGACGAAATATAAAAACATGTTTACCTACATCGTTTCATTTCCTTTGATAAAATGGAGATATCGCTATTTAGGTACTTCTGCGTTTCAGTAGTTGAAATTTAGGGTCAACTCGTTATCTATAGTGTTTTTAAAGTAAGCTAAACTAAACAGTTTACCATAGTTTAACATGTTATTATTTTTTTGTACATTCTGTTAGTAGCTTTTTTTATTATTTTAGACATTCTTGAAAAGAGATTGGCATATTCAGCCAACGAATAATGACATGATCGTCAATACGCATACTTGTGAAGTTATGGATCGTAAACATTTGTATGTCGCAACTAGTAATTGCCTTCTACCAGAATGCAATGTTCTCAAACTTCTTAATCTTTATACTCGACACAATATGTATTTAACAATGTTTTGAAACTATAATAATGTTATTTAACACCAAACATACTTATAGCTAACAACCTATGCTATGTACCATAGTTTCTCTGAAATCTATATGAATATTATAAAGAGGATAGATTTGTATTTTTGGATTTTGGAAGTAACTCAAACACTACTGGACCGATTTCAAAAACTCTTTCAGCAATAAAAACCTACGTTATCGCTGAGTAACATAAGCTACATTTCTAATATTCACGCGGACGAAGTCGCTAGCAAAATGTCATAAGTGATATTTACGTAATTTTCGCCAGAGTAATTTGTTCAACCCTAATTATAATCAAGTAAGATAAGGTATGTAAATATAATGTGATCTGCTACGCTATTCATCAATATGTGTGAAAATTTAGGGGCGACCAATGTTGAAGATTTCTGTGTTATTTAAATATTGTTTCCTGCTATAATTTCTCTAGATATTGTTGATATGTATACAACATTCATGTAAAAAAATCACTCGACATTGCCCAATTAGTAGAAAGAAAGCCATAATTAAGCGATTGGTGTTTTAATCATTGTACAGGTGTACAATGATTCTACAATATTTGTTGGTGACTAACTTTCGTTAGCGAATCCGTCCACGTGGAATGAAAAAACAAAACTAAGTAGACACTAGGATAGTGTGGACGAACATATGTCTATGTGTTCTCTAAATTTACATTTATGCTAAATTTCATCGAGATCCGTCCAGTTGTTAAGTTTCGCATTTAAAATATGTAAGAAGGAAGATAAATAAAAACATGACTTCTTAATTTAAAATTTTAATAACAATTTAATAAGTCTTTAAGTTATTTAACCAAGGAGAGAAGCGACAACGGCGTCAGGGACGGCACCGCCTGGTCCTTGTTCGATTTCGGGCTGGTATCCGTTTTCATCAGCGATGTAGGTTACAACGTAGGTGATACCATCGTCTCCGATGAAAGTAAACCTACCCTTGACCACCAAGTGTTCGTTTTCGAGTCCAACGTTGACTAATTCACCCTGTTGTTCCTGTTTCGTGCCGTCGGTCTGTTCGTATCTGTTGAAAAAAATGCTTTTACTTCATTGGACTCCATAAAGTAACTGTCATTATTTTCTAGTAAGTGTAGATACAAATAGAGACCGATAAAGATTCGGCAACAAGTAGTACTACTCGTAGTACAAACAAACAATGATAAAATATAGTTCGAAAGTAAATATTTCTAGAAGTTTATAATGATTTCAGATTTGAATTAAAAAAAATATATGTAACCCTTAAATACGTCATTCGTATTCAAGATTCTTTACTTATTTTGTTAGGCAAGTTTAACAAATAGCCAAAAAAAAAGTTATATTTTTAAACCCCTCTGGTTTACGTATTAGAGTGTCCATGTGTTATTTATAAATACGTATCTCACGTATATTTGCGTTTATATATTTGCAGCGTTGCCCTTGAAAATGTCGGCTATCATAACATTTTCATTATCAAAAATTAATACACTCTGACAATATCAAAGTATTATTGTCCTTCTATATTAGTGTCATGCCTGTTTTAATTAGTGCAAATCTTGTAATGATATATTGCTAATACATACGTATGTCAGTGTCCCGAAACCAGTTTTTTGATTGAAAGACAAATACGTAGTTGATTGGACCATTCCTTTCTTTTTTATTTATTAGTTCAAGTCTGCCTTGACAATGACAATTTTGTGCCGGACATTTTTTATTTGTTGCCCTTGGATTTAGAATCTAAATAATTTATTAGTTCGTTTAATTCCAATTATTTAGATTTTTACATATCGCTAAGTTATTTTCCATTATTGATTTTTAACTCTTGCTTATTTATAACAAACTAGCTATTGCTCGTGACTTCGCCTGGGTGAACTTAAAAATCTAACTATGTTACTCACCGATAACATAGTTTTATAATGGTAAAAGAATTTTTGAAATCGGCCTAGTAGTTTTTCAGTTATTTCAATACATACAAGTATACAAATCTTTCCTCTTTTTAATATTAGCATAGATATATTCAACGCTGGTTTATTTCCTAAATTGGGTGCAAGAGTTAGATATCGGTTAATGTAAACATAGTTGAAAGTAGAAAATCATAATGAATTATTAGGCATCAATCGTTATCCATCATTGAACATGTTGCATTTAGCCGTCCAATGATATTGCTCTTGTATCAAATGAAGGGAACTATTAAAGTTAATGGTTTATCTCCACAGAGTACTTTCAACTGGAAGAGCCACCTGTGGTATGCTAGTTTAAAGTGATTGCTAAATTATAATCTCGCCTCCGCGCGTTGACGAAATTCACAGGTTACAAACTTTGTATTCATCAATACGTTAGAGAAACGAAACACCAGTCGACAGTTTAGCTGTTTCAAAATTAATTGATCTTATTAACTGAGAGTTTTCATTAACGATATTTTGTATACACAACGTAATGTGATCATTCTTATTCTCTTGTATGTTATTAAAACAAACAAATAGTTAAATACTAATTTTCTTGTATTTAATCACAATGTTTTCAGCGGAATTTCACAGTAACAAAAAAATAAACGGAAGTTCTGAAACTCTCTTAATATATCTTATCAATCGTTATCTATAAAACATTCACCAGTGTTATTTAGATTGATTTATAAAAAATCTTAGGTCCAACTGACCACTTATTGAAACAACATTCTGAGCCTATGCAATGTTTTATTTGCGTATAGAATATTAGGGTCAAATATGATATACAGATAAATATTGTTAAACAAAAAAAAAATCGAGTTTAACAATAAGTAATTAATTCTTGAGGGTTTATGAATAAACTACTTACGCGTATTTGTAGGAGCCGGTGCCATCGTTGTCGTTTTCAAATCGCAAAATGTCAGCGTTTTGGCTATCTGTAGCTCTGTATACTGGAGGAGGGGCTGCAAGCGCAGCGCTCACCAGCAGGCATAGAGCTACTATCTATTGAAAAACAATTACATTTTTAATTAATCATTTTCCAATTAATATTTTTTTAATTGATCAATCACCATTTCAAACACTACGTACCACTTTCATGATTATTAGATGACCTTTATTTGCTAACGATAAACGAACACTGAAAGGTGTCTAAGTTTTGCGACCTTTATATCTCAACCAGATGACTTAGTTTTGTTGTAATAATCAAATACCCGCTTGGGATGCGGTCGCGAAGGTGAACCACTTAGAATTTGAGAAAAATGGTCAAGTGCGGTTTGTCAACGGTCAGTTTCATGGGTTCCGTCGTTAAAATTTGGAAATGCGTTATCGTAAATCCAAGATATTGATAAAAATTTCACTAGTAAATTATTTTGACTACTAATATATTGACAAAGTCAGTGAGCTTTTGTACACAGCGACGTAACTCTTAAATTCTAATTTTACTTTATTATTCGTCCTGTAAACATGATTGCATCTTACCTGTCACTGCAAATTTTAACTCTATCGTGTGTTTTTGTTTCAAAATTTGATTCATAAATAACGGAAGCAAGTAAAAATAATTTCATTTTTCATTTTAACAAGGAAATTATAAAGAGAATTATAAAATGTGGGTCGTTGGAGAATAAGGATTACTAGCCTTGACAACAATTAATATGAAAATATAACTAGTTAAACCGATCTTTCATAAAAGGGTTATTCTATTTTCTCTTAATTAATAGGTGAATAACGATGTAACCCACTTATTGAGACAGTTTATGCTTGTGTAAATGCAATAGTTAACTACATAATTATGTTAGCACCATACATGTTTCATTACGATATCACGAATACATTTAATAGAATAAAAAGTGTAAATACATTACTGTGGTTTGGTCGTTAATCCAATTTTAGCTAGAATTATGTAAACTTTGAAGTGAAAAACGAAAAAAAAAGATTTAATTTTTGACATGTACCCACGTTTGCCTAATAGAAAGATAAAAAATTGATAATATAAGTGAATCCATAGAAAAATATTTATAATATTTATAGCATATTATGGAATTTTAAAGCATCGTAAGATTGGGCGTCAATTTAGTATAAGATAAATTTACACTTTAAAATAACTCATATATAAGACATGCAAAATTACATGGCTTTGTTTTCTTCCAAGGACCTAAAATATTTTATTTTAAATTGAAAAATGAATACATCAATACGGATCTCAAAAACTATTAGCGAGTGAGAGGTAGAGATTTATTATTATACAAGATTTTTTCTTTCTTTTTTTTCTAATGTGAGTTATTTAAAAGTCATAAAATATTTTAAATAATGGATAATAATTTAAGCCACAATAGTTCACGCTCATACCACGAAGTGATATTATTTACTAAATTATAATAAAAAAGTAGTAAAAATTATAATACTTTATTTACAATGCTTATCGAACTTATATAAATATTACATAAGTTTGTGTAAAGTTATGCTATTTACAAATTGTTTTAATTCAGGACTTTCTTTATGGAATTAACCTAAAAGCGAAGCGACGACAGCTGAAGGGATCGCGCCTCCTGGACCTTGTTGTATCGTTGGCTGGAATCCATTTTCATCAGCAATGTAAGTGATGATATAGTTCACGCCGTCAGGTCCGACCCAAGCGTATCTTCCCTGAACCGCAATACCCTCATTTTCAGTTCCCTGGTTCTTCAGTTGACCTTGCTCTTCGTGTAAGCTTCCGTCGGAAAGTTCCCATCTGTAAATCGAGAATATTCATTGTAAGATATATTAAAAAAAACATGAAGTAAAACTATTTCATATCAGACTAAAAATAAACTTAATTGCTAGGACAGTATTACTTTCAATCTAAATGATACACATGACGTTCATGTGTCCTTCTATACATTGAATTGCAGATTATAGATTACAGGAATTAAGACTACAGTTCAATATTAGTGATGATCATTAGCTAAGCCTATGATAACAAATTCAGGTCTTCTTAATAATATCAATTAGGGTATGAGGTTATAGATTATCCCTGCGCAATTAGTGTCAGACAATTTATTTCTTCTTGTTTTAAAAATATTAAGAATAAAAATGATCTTACGCGAAGTTGTAAGCATCGAGCCCAGCGTTATTGCTTTCATAACGTAGGATCTGGACGTCCTGTGGGTTTTGGGGAGCAGCCGCGGCTACCGCAATGATGGCGAGTACGACAAACTGAAACAAAACAATCTCATGTAGCTCAGCACATTATTCACAAAACACGTCACAGATTAATTAAATCCCAACAACTTTAATTTGACTACTGACCACTTTCATCTTGCCTATTGTTAATTTACAACGACTGTTGTCTTCGAAGAATGCACAGTTTGTGTGATGGTTACGTATTCAAACCTCTGTCTTATATATGAATTTATTTCTTCTTGAGTTTGGTTGCAACATAGCCGTAAAACTTCGTCGCTTCTAGCCGTATGTACAGACGAAAACGTCTTTCTTTGTAATAGTTGTAAGGCTTTCGCTTGTGAGGGTTCCCGTACGCATGTGTTAGTTAACAATCGAAGTGACCTATGCATCTATCTTAAGTAACTTCATAAAGGTCAATGTTGATAAACCTTGCAAAAACTTAATTGACGCGTAGTTCCAGAGCCTAATATAACGTATGGTGTTTATTAATTAATTAATTACATAATTGTTTCATTCGTTTCATGAGTAATTGTAAGCGAGAGGCGTGGTTAACGACCCTTTTAACTTGTTATACGCATGTTCTACATTTATGATTACAATTAAAATTAAAATAGAGATGTTTTTCTCGTCTTTATTTTCACGCGGAAGTTGTTTCATTGTAGTTAATTACAAATAAAGTAATAAACTCAGCTAAAGTTCCCTGTTTTAGCGGCGCCGACGCACTTGGAGTTATATCATTATCTACTTAATTTTCTAAGTATGATTGAGGTATTAAATAAACAAGGTGATTCTTAACTTAACCTCAACGCCGGACCTCAATATCTATCACCCAGTAGATTTGACATTAGTTCTACCTCCTGTCCCAATCCATGTGACTCACCACGCTTTTGGCTTATATATCGATCAGTCTTTAGCCATTTCAGTCTTCACACCTTCCTTAATCGTGTTTTTGATTTCATATGTAGAGTAATTAAATGTGCCCTTTAAGTTATTTGTTACAAGAGTTGACATTAATCGTAGATTATATATAAAGTTCGCTGGTGGATTATCTTTCAGTCGATTGGCACAGTGGCCTTAATCTGGTAAGCATTGATTTTACATGATCTTGTACCTTTAAACAAAATATGTTTCTTTTTTTATAATTTAAGGTGGCAAACGAGCAAGCGGCCACATGAATCCACCGAAATGGAAAGTGACCGCAGCCCATAAACATCCGCAATTGCAGATGCCTACCCTTCATTGACGGAGGAGGTATCGCACATTAAGTGGATATTTCCCCTGCCTATGCGTCTCAACCATCGTCAAATCCACTTTTCCTTCCCATCCTTTCCTCTTAAGAAAAAGGTGAAAAGGAAAAGGGACTAAAATTAGGCCTCGGCACCACACACATCAGACGAAACGCGGAATTGCTTCCACTTCACTGTTTTCTGTGTGGTCGCGAAACTCTATAAGGATATGACTATAGTAATGATAAAAGAATGTTATATATATCAACATATATATCAACAAGGGTGAACGAATCTTGTTTTTAAGTGTTATAACCTCTCTATATTTTTATAGTTTTGTAGGTATTGTTCGTGGAATTTAAATATATTCATCAACAATACAAAAAGCGTAAAAAAGGAAAATTATAGATTTGGCGATCTTCAACATAGTTCGTAGATATTCTTTCAAATGCTCCCACATTAAATGTCAAGATATTAAAATAAAGACGACATATATTTGTGAGTAGCTGCTGTCCACGGCTTTGTTCGCATATTCCTAATTTTCATTGTTATAATTGTTAGTCTTAAATAAACTATAATCTTGTAAATACAATTATTATGTACATTATGATAATAATAACTGTTGTAAAAAATCATTTTCGAAAAAAAAATCGCTATAATGTTCAAAGGAAAATCTGTAAGTCTAAAAAACTATTTTTTTGGATGCAATTTTAGATATACAGATTTTGCTACAATCCTTGATATAAATTTTTAGGTGCATGTTTAGTAATAATTACAAATACAACAAAAAAATATCCAAACAGATTTAGTCGTGGCATATGACATCAAATATATCATGATGTTTCCTTGTTCCTTCGAATTCATTCGTAGAACTATAGCAGGTGTATAGAAAAATTTGACCACGTAACTGAAATGTTCATAGAATGTATAAAATTCAACATTACATTACTTGCAACATACACTGAGGTTATGAGAACATCAATCAGTTGTGGCGAACTGTACGGCCTTTAACATTTTCAACTGAACGATGTTATTAAGTAGATGATACTGTTGCAATTTAAAAATGTTAAAATCATTCTTACACGCATCATGACACGGCTTATTTCATTAAAAACGCGTTGCATTTGCAAAACAACTAAATACAAATTATTTCATAGAAAATATCAAGGTCTTTCTGTGAGCGCTTTGTTATTTACATACAACCGGTTATTGCGCGTGCGATAAAAAGAAGATAGCTCTCATCAAATACAATCCGACAAACCAATTAAAGCAATCAATATACATATTTAATCATTTATCTATTTTATTTATAAATACCTAGCTTTCGCCCACGACCAGTCCGCGTGAAATTAAAAACAAAATACTAAAGTAGCCTATGTGTTAGGCTATTTACTTTTGTTCCTTAGCCTTCCAGACTATACTCTACATCTATGCCAAATTCAATCGAGATCCATGAAGCCGTTTAGGCTACAAACTCTAACAAACAAGAGACAACAACAACAGTAACTAAGAGGTGAGATGAATGTTTAACAGTAACGTTTAAATAACGTCGGGTTTGTTTGTGACGTAGCAACAATAAGGCCCCGGAACTAGAACAATTACGTTTTAATTCTCAGAAATAATGCGACGGTTATTACTATTTAATACAAATTGGAGGTTTTCATCTTAATTTATTTATTGTTTAAGATGAAGCTAAGCATTTTTCGCATTTACACATTTGTTTTAGACTAGCTGTTGCTCGCGACTCCATCCACATGAAATTTTAAAATATAGTCTAAGTTACCCACCGATAACTTTTAACGGTTGTAACCTTTTTAACGGTGAAGGGATTTTTTAAATTGCCCTTGTAGTTTTTGAGTTACATCAATACATACAAAAATACAAATCTTTCCTCTTTATAATAATAGTATAGATAATAGTGTTTAGAGAATACTATAAGGATAACATTTAGTTCCTGGCAATGAACGAAAACGGAAATCAGAGACTGGAAATCCAAATAGTTCTTCGAAGTCCACGTCAAAGCAAGGTCGGTCAAGTTAATCTACATTCACTGACGTTAACGAGTTAGTAAGATGAAATGTTTTATCCTTTTACCCGATTGATAAGAAGATAATGTTTTTCCCCGCATACTTTGTTATATTACGTATATATGTTTGTGCATATCATTATGACATTCATTATGCTGGACTGTCGGCCACTGACTGTCACTGGACTGTCTAAGAATCATATCAAATGCAGTCAACTATAACCTTTCCAGCTTAACTACAATAATTATATTAGTCAGAGATTTTAGAATGCATAAATAAGTGAAAAGACCAAGACCGTTAGAATCTTAGGCACTTGGTCAATGAGTAATCATTTGTTGTTATTTATACAGTGAAGGTTTTCTCCAATATTGACTAACATTTTGACTGAATTTAGCTTGTATTCAAGTCGGTCTAAACTTATATTACGTCATAGTGTGTTGAACCGATGCGCGGCTGACCTCCGACACTCGATGGTCCGCCTTCCTTACTAGAAATGCTTTTTAGGCCAGATCGACATTACGATAGCTGTTTAAACATAATCTTACTATATGTTGAATTAATTTTGTACAAGGTCGAGTTATATAATGCTGATACGACGATGTCATCGACACGACATTACACAACGAGACATGTAATTTCTTCTGATATATTTGACTAAGTTTGAAAGTCAAGTTCTCTATATTGTGCTGTTCCAATTTTATAAAATAAGTTATTATGGTAATGTATGCAAAATTAAGTTTTTATATTAAGATTTTTTTCATAATAAAAGAAGAATTGGTAAGAATAAATATTTCAAATGAAAATCTACAATTTTGTTTTTCTTAAATTTTATCTGTGAATTCGTAATAAATAAAAACGCGAATCCCTTGATCAGTTTCATGAACATTACAAACGATATATTAACTCATCGCTGCATTAGTCGAAGCTACATGTCGACAGAGTGACGTTAATTATCAGCATGCAATAGTTTTGACGGTAAAATTATTAATGTGTGATTTTTTTGCTAAATATCTTAAATGGATCTAACTATTTATAAATTCTACGGTAATAACGAAGAGCTTAATCTATACCTACTTAAAAATAGTTTACATAGGTTTCGCTGCAGCTTCTATCTTAAAAATCTTATTGTTTTCATTGAAATTCGCGTCTATTTATATGTTTGTTGGTGTAAAGTGATAATTACATTTTTATTTGAATGATTTCTTTCATTCACGCGATTACCTTAATTTTAAGTTGGACCAATTTCTATGAATTAATTTAAATAATCCTTTAATTAATGAGTTAAGTAAGTCTGCGTAACCCCTCATTTAACATTCGATCGATTTCATAGTTTACATAAGATGTTTACCTCTGGATTTCAATTATGATGACATCAACCTGCTTTTGTGATATTTATTCAACGTACAATAGTTTTCCGTAATATAAGTGGTAGTTAAGGTTCTTCAATCGTCGATTCAATCATCGACAGTACTGTTACAACTAACGATATGTGTAAACATTTTCAGAAACAATAATCAGAAATAGAACATGAAGTTTGATTTTTAAGAGTAGTAGATCCAGCATATCGGTAATGGTAATAGAAGTTAAAATCGGGAAGAGTGTGGATGTATAGAAATACAAAATATCTTTTATTTATACATTTTTTTAATAAATTTCTAATAGAAGTTATAATAATTATAAGTTTCATTTTGTAATTTAAATTATTAAATTATTCTCCTATCATTAAATCTAGTATCATCGTCATGTATCTCCGGCTTAAAACCGTTAGCATCAGCTATATATCTAACGCTGTGATATTTCCCTGAAGGAACCAGATATCCGTATTCACCACGAATCGTAAGAGTATTTGTTCCTGCTTCATTAATGATACCAGCCTCTTCTTTTCTATAGGTACCGTCTGATGCTACGAATCTGAAAAAAAAAGAAAGCGTTTAAGAAATTACACTTACGTATTTGCTAAGAAAATTAAAAGAAATATTAATAGACATAACATATTTTAAATAGATTATTTCTTTTTGTTTTTTTTTTTTTAGTTTTAGACTAAGGAAGTTAATTGAAAAACCTAACACTAAAAGTTAGTCTTTTAAAGCTTCTTACGATCATGACAATTCTAATCTTGTTGAATTAGGTAGATCAAAAGTTAGGAGCTATAATTTAAAATCCTTACCAATGTTTGGTTTTACGTACTTACTCGAAACTGTAAGTTCCCAAGCCGTTGTTACTGTATGCGTACTTAATTATTTGTACAGGTCCATCAATCGCTGCAGGCGAGCTCTCCACTGTTGCTAATAATACTGCTACGAGGCAGATGCGTTCAATAAAGGCCTGCGCACCATACAAACCATATGTCAAGGATAACAAGTCTTATATTACTGGAATTTCATCAATAGATATTTATATGACAGGAATTAAAATACCTTTTTTTTATAAAAACCAAACTAAATAACCATAACTCACGAATTTATTTTATTTTCGAGTTCGCAACAATAACACTTAATCCGATATGGTCCTTCATATAAATATTTATAAAGATCACCCGGATGTTTTGAATGTTTTAAAAACATAATAATGTTAGCAAAGAAACTTGATAAGTGCGACATGATCCTGCTGAAATGAATCTGTAATCTTTGTCAACTCCTTAAGAATAGGGGAGTGAGTTTATTTTTATAGTATAATGGTATGTTCACTATTTTATTCAGATTTATCTACTTTAAAATCGAAAATGAATATAGGCAGAACATAGAATATTGTGACAGTATACCCTAGGCCTAACTTTAGTCCCTTTTCTTTCCCACCCTTTTTCTTAAAATAAAAGGATGGGAAGGGAACCTGGATTTGACGTTGGAGGAAACGCATAAGAAAGGGAAATCATCATCATCCACTTGCCCTTATCCCTTATGGAGGGTCGGCACAGTATGTGCTGCTCTTCCAAACATCTCTATCAGCCGTCATATCTGAATCCACTCCTTTCTTAAGCATATCTTCTTTCACACAATCCATCCATACTTTCTTCGGTCTTCCACTTCCTTTGTAGCCATCCACATTCAATCTCAACGCTTTCTGGTTTATGTCCCCATCATTTCGAGAAGGGGAAATATCCTGTTTATATGCGTCTCCTTCTTTGTCAATTAAGGGTTCGCTTCGCCATTTTGGCGGATTCCGGAGGCCGCTTGCTCGTTTGCCACATGAGGAAATAAAAAAAATTATCGCTTAATGAGTAATAGCGAAATTAATTAATCGAGTAGACAAATTCTATACAGGGATGCTTGTATTTTGTAAAATAATTCATTTTACATATATGAATGATGCAATAAAGATGTGATGCAATAAAATCACTTGTAGACGTTTTGTTTTTCTTGTCGCCCACGTTTTTCAAATCTACTTGTCTTTTTTTGTTGATAGGTGGAACACAAGGTATTTCCTTGTATTCTACTTATAATGGAAAATTATAATTATTATGAAGACGAAAAAGAACTCTAGAATTATAATTTACATATTGTTAGCATACGAAAGTAAATTGCATATAGGCTAATTTCAAAGCAACATTCTACTTTGTTTTAGTCTACTGGTCAAGGTCAAAAGGACATTTATATGTTAGGACAGAATAAAAACCCTCAAACTTAGAGACGTTTCTAATGCGACATACATTGTACATCCTTACTAATAACGTATACTATGCCTTACATTCAAGTAAAAAAATATACAACAATATTTGTCAATACATGTGTCAAGGCAGTTGAATCCCGAAGTAATGTGTGGATAAAGTCACTTCACTCACCATATTAATTAACATTTTTCTAGTTGTGATATATTAGAGAACTGCGGTTCAGGCCTACCGCCGTCACCTTATATCGAGTTCTTCATGAATGACAAGTCTGGACTTCATTCCTTAGCAAACAAAGCGTCGCCAAGGACTCAAACAAGTCAATGACACTATCATATAAAATCCAAACGAGAAAACGTATTTTTTTAACTCGATTGACGACTAAACTTAATTAATATTCTCGAGACCATTAATTTAGATCGTTATTCGTCTCGTTTGTGCCGGTTCTATGGAATCGAAGTTATAAACCCTCGCCTTAATCCAAGCCTAGAGTGCAGTTTGTGTAATGTGTGATCTTCAGAAATAAAATAACAATTTGCGAAGCACGATATCTTATTATTATAACGTATACTACAGTATAACATAGGTGTGAGCAAGCACCAAGTTTTAAATGAAAATGTTCAGGATAGAGCGAAGTGGAAGAAATAAACTAGGAAAGCTGATCCCAGTACCATACAGGATACAAACTAGGGATAGAGAGTAAAGTCCGCATCGCAACAATTTACAAATAGTTACGGATCTGAAACCCGTAATAACTTTAAGAGTTCTGAGTACCATAGTACACGTACAGATAAAGTTATATTTCACCATTGATCATATTAAATTAAAGATAGCAATGCCGTAGACGCAGGTGAAGACGGTGTAAGTTACGAATGTGGTAGGACATTCAATTACATGTTTCTAATTACATTGAATTCTTGTATTTTTGGATTCAGCGAATCTTAGAGAGTCCTCGTTCTAATAAAGATTACGATGAGGATTATTTTACTAAGAAAGTAGTTTTTTGTTGTCGTTTGTTTTCAGAAGTTCTTAATTTAGTCAGTCTAATGTCTCTTTTCTATGTAAAAAAATTTTGTTAATAAATTATTATGTTAATAAGGGACAATTTAAGCCGTATCGTGTGTAGGTTGTCACATGCAACGCGCGTGTTTACCTATGCTATATGTTATTTCATTTTTCTTTATTGGTCTTCGTTTGCGAATCATCATAAAGGTCACGGTCAAGATTCCTATTAGAGCTATAAGTAGCCTACCGCATATGTGTGTTGGAGGATGCTGTTTCATATACATTTGTTTTTAACAATGATTTATTCTGACGAATTAAAAAAATGAGCAAAATTTAATTTAAATGGAAAACCCAGTGAGGTTTTAATTAAATACAAGGACATTCAACAATATGTATCAATAGACAGGACAACACGAAATAAATCGTAATCCAAGGCTTTTTTAATCCTTAACTTTAGCTACATAACAGATTTTTAAATGTATTTACATAAGTAGGATATCAATTTTAAAAAAAGGTTTATCACGTCACTGATATCAATTGCCACATCATTCTCCAGACACAAATCCTTCCGTCACTAGCTTTTGCCCGCGACTCTCCGTGTGGAATTAAAAAAGCAAAAGTCAGTAGCCTAAGTGTTTTTTCAGACTATCTTCTACAACTAAACCAAATTCCATTTACAAACTCTAACAAACATCTATCCATCCTTCCATCTAAGTTTTCCCTTAGATTAGCCTTTCTATTAGTATGATTAACACTAACTGCTTACAAAACGACATTCATTGTCACGTTAACGCAATCGCTTATAGATAATTATAATAGCCTTTGGCTAAATACGATAGTTTAATTACATACATTTTAATTGTATCATAACTGGGTACATGTTCCGGAAGTAATTTGTATTAGTTTAATGACCATGGCGATCGATACTATATGCAGATAACATATTGTAATCAACAGCGACATACGACAGTATTGTAGTGTTGACAGTTCTAGGAAACATGCCCCCGGTGTACTAAACAACGTTTAGTATGCGGATACGATAACTTCCTTGACAAAATTACTATTAAAATCATCTTTTTTATACAAAATTACTACTTACTATAAATTGTCAGGTACGTTACTCTAGTTTCACCCTCGCTTCGCAGTCGATAGCACAATTTTTGATGAAAGTAACATAGTTAATAATTTGGGTAAATGAGGTGCTATACATAGAATAAGATGTACACTGAATCATCTTTATCAGCATTTATTTAAAAAAAAAACAATTCATTTTTTCATTATGCTTAAGAAAGGAGTGGTTTCAGATATGACGGCTGATAGAGATGTATGGAAGAGCAGCACATACTGTGCCGACCCTCCGTAAGGGATAAGGGTAAGTTGATGAATTCATTTTTTCTACGTAATGTATTTGTCATGTATTTTCACGTTAACGTGGGTTAAAACCAAAGTTACACTAAATCATGCCTTGTAATGTATTAATAAATAATTAATTTATATTCAAGAACGTTTAATAAATTACAGAAGTAACGTAAAGAAGAAAGTAGCTAAATTCAAGATTTCCTTTCAGTCTGCAATCTTTAAAAGTTGATTGTTGTTGTCTATTTGAAGCTATTTTATCGAAGATCTCCATTAATTTTTTCATTTTCCCAATAAAGATGCGACGATAGTTTCTGAAATCCTGAACTGTAATGAAAGATGTCATGCTAAATTAACGAAAACAAAACACAACAACTGGCCAATGCTTTGAGGTTACGTCTAAAGTCAAGATTCAAATGTATAATACAAAAAAGATTATCGGCCAATGGATGTTAAGTAAAACATACATATAATACCTAGTGAAGTACATATCTCCAAAACGACTCAACGTATCTTCACAAAGTTTGCGCAGATATAGAGCATAGTTTTTTTTTAATTCTGCGCGGATGTAGTGGCGAGAACACGCAAGTTTTGTATAAATATGTGAAACGGAAATAACACAAAATAATTAAAAAGTTAAATAGTAGATTAAAATGTTTACCGCTCCCGCAAATGGATCTATAATGACATAACCATTCTTGTCAGCTTTGTAATGAACTGACTGTAAAACTCCTTCTGTGTCATTATACGAATAAAATCCTTGGACTGCGATGTGCTCGTCTGCTTGACCAATATTAACTCGTCGTCCTGTTTCATCTCTTATCATACCTTTCGATGTTTCAAATCTATAAATAATAATTAAACATATTTAGTAACACGATATCATAACGTTGCACGATGTTCATTTTTGTAAACGATGTATTAAACGAACATTTAAACGAGATCTTGATAACAGAATGTCACGTTTTTTTAACTTTTTACAAGTTTATTGTTGTTTACATTTTGTTTGTTTTTTATTTCCATGTTGTATTTGCTCATAATTGAAATAGATTGAGCTTTTTAACTAATATTTAACGTATGTTTGTCTATCTTCATATTATTCATTATAGAAATACAAATTAAGACATAAATATTTCAAATTCTTGATTTTAATACCTACTCGTTAACGTCTCACCTGAAATGATAATTACCAAGACCATCGTTGTCATTTTCATATTCTATGGTCTTCTCTTCTATGTCCGAAAGATTTCTAGCGTCAAACCCGAATACAAATATAGTTAAAACCAGTAAAACTCGATACATTTTTACTATTATGTTATTTTTTAATTTAACAAAAAGAATATTCAAAAATAACAAACACAACTTGGCGGCTCGAAGTTTACGGTCAACATAATTCCGTTATTTAATCATCATACGTTTTATAGGCTTAATCCTATTTCGCAAATTATGTGCAAAATAAACTAAAATCGTGATAGGTATCCCTATGGCAAGGTAATCACGATGTATGCCGGTTGGACCTGTTATAGGCTGATGATGATAATCATTATAATTTTCTATAAAACAATAAATATATAAACAAAACTTCGTTTCCATGTGTCGTTAAAATTACTTGTATATAATAAAATGTAACTTAAGATTGTACATATAAAAAAAGATCGTAAAGTATTAGTATAAATTCATACATCGCATTATTGCAAGTAAAAAAAAATGGTAGAGTTATTTTTAAAGTCTTCAATATATTAATTAATTTATCTACATTATAAATCAAATCAATCGAGATATAAGGATTATCAAATACAGAAATTAATTAAAAACTTGATTTTGATTGGGATTTTTATTATTTGTATAATTGAATGAATACCATAAGGTAGTTTTTACATGAACAATGCAAAAACTATTCCTATTATGTATTTAATGATAGTGTATCAATTCACTAATTTACTTCATGTTTTCCATTAACGTCATAAATCTATGTTACCTATAATTAATTACTACAAATAAAAACCATGTAGGTAATACGTCACAATCTCAAGAAAAACTCTGATTACACTACTGTATTATAGCCCTGAAATGTTTTAAAAAACTTGTGTTTACAAACAAATTATAGAATCACTTGTGTACATTGTCCTTAATATCCCTTATTTCCCCAATAAAGAAGCGACGACAGATGCTGGTACTGGTGCAGCTGGCTGCAAAGAAAACAGTTATAATTTTATTCCTCCTTATGGATGGAACATAGTTAACTAATATTAAAGACAACAATAACAACAGAAGAATTGTAATTTTGTCCCTACAAATTAGCATAAAACAAAAAGCGCTTTACAATGGTATGATCTGTAAAATAATAGCCATAGAGTTAATTGAATTGAAGAACTTGTTTGGTTTACACAATAAGTAGTTCTATTTTGTAAAGCGTAAGTCTGACTTTTGAAGTGTAAAGATAGTACAATAGAGGGCTCGAAGAGTGATTGAAAGTAAAAGCTTTAGTTAGATTTTTAGTGGGCAATTGTTTTTCTTTCTATTTTTATTACTTACACTACTTGTATGACGATGAAATACTTATAATATGATTACTAGTAAATTAAAATCTTACCAATTGAGGCAATGCAGGTGAAATAATGACGTAACCATTTGAGTCAGCTTTGTAATTAACCGTGCGCAAGATTCCATCATTGTCACTGTACGTATAGAATCCTTCGACAGCAATATGCTCGTCTGATTGACCGGAGTTAACAAGGCGACCAGTTTCCTCTCTTGTTATACCATTTGATGTAACAAATCTAAAACAATGCGATAAAATGAATGTAAATTTAAAATATCTTCAATGTTAAACGCTAAGTATTCGCATGAAATATTAAATGTATGCCACATCTCGATATTTTTCAAATTTGTATTTTAGTAAAAGGAAGTAAGCAGTGAAATTTTATGCTGTTCTACAAATTGAATAAACAAACATCTTCCAATTTGTGTGCCAAGTTAAATAGACAAGATTTACGTATTTGTTTAAAACAACAATGGTATTTTCTTACCGAAAAAAGTAGTTTCCGAGGCCATCGTTTTCATTTTTATAATCTTCAATATTAGCTTCTTTATCCAATAAATTTTTAGCTTCTATACTATATACTACTAAAGCTAATACAAGCACGACTTGATACATATTTACTGCGTTGTGTGTTAAATTAACAAAGAAGTAAAGAATTTTATTAAGGAAAATAAAACTAAATACACAACTCGACTGTGCGGAATGTACCATCAGCATAATTTGTCCATTCGTTGCTGTAGAACTATATAGGTTTAATTATATACAAGTTATAATTTATGTTTGCAAAATAAGCTCTAACTGTGTTATAACCTTGAGATGATAATAACGATGTACGCTGGTTGAACCTGTTACGTTTGTGATGAGAATTTTGTATCTATATTTATTTATTTTTTGAAGTAAATTTAAAACTGGACGGGGGAATATGAAACAAATACAAGACGATGAAACGATCCATCGTCGTTGCTAGATAGTTTAACTAAAGTCCCCGATCGGTGAAAGTATATACTTAAGCAGTAATTTATAAAAGTAAAAAACTTGGTGTCTTTAATTGTAAGTTTAATTTTGAGGTTATTAAATTAATGTAATAGTTTATTCTATTATTTATTACATTTTATCTTGGTCAAAGTTGCGGGAGTGCTCTAGATGCGGACGACACAGGACCGGGCATTGTGGCAATCAATAGGGAAGGCTTACGTTCAGCAGAGGACGTCTTCAGGCTGACATGATGACAATGATGATGATTATTTATTTTCCCAATAAAGAAGCGACGACAGAATCTGGGACTCCGGGTATCGGCGGCTCCAAAAAGCCCTGTAAAGCAAAATAATTACTTTATTTTCATCATAACATTCTATCTCATTTTATGTTTGTCTAGACTCATTTAAATGTGTACTTCTTTAGAGATAATAACTTACATCATCTAATCGTGGTTTAGATGTTGTACTAGTTTTGTATCCATTGGTATCAGCTTTGTAATAAACAGTGTGTAAGAGTCCTTCAAGATCCTTGTAAGAATAGTATCCTTCGACAGCGATATGCTCGTCAGACTGACCGGAATTAATAAGTCGTGAGGTTTCTTGTCTTGTTATACCGTTCGATGTTACGTATCTAGTAACAAATTATTAATTAGCAACTTTAATTTGCCCGTATAACAATATTGGGTCCATATAAACTATGGTCTTCATTTATTTTCATCTTAACTGTATTTATAACGGATAAGTCAACATGTATTATATTCAGCCTTGTCTTAAAATAAAACACATTTAAACTTAAATAACATGAATTGTTGATATTTAAAAATGGTTAGTCTCAACGAAATTCCATAAATAGTGTTAACATTAAAGTTTGTACTGAGGCTTTGATATAACCACTCGTAATTACTGTATTGAAATAATCAAGTATTTTCTTACCTAAAAAAATAGTTTCCGAGGCCATCGTTGTCATTTTTATATTCTACAATTTTCGCTTCAGTCTCCGAAGGTATTGTAGCTTCAATACTAAGCATTGACAAAGTCAATACCAGTACGAATTTAAACATATTTATTGTTTAACAATTTAAATATCAATGAACTGAAGATGATTGTTAGTTTTGGAAAATAATCAAAAACACAACTGGATCCTGCGAAGGATACCGACTACATAATTTGTCTAATTGAATATGTTAGGATATATAGGCTAGATTAATACCAGTTTGCAATTTGCATTAACAAATAAAAGTCTAACCGTTGCGTTATTTTGATGCACGATCAAGTTTTTATAAAATGATGGGAGATTTAAGTTTAGTTTTAAAGCGTTGAAATTTTATAGTTTTTTTAGTTGTTGCCAAGGTATCATATTTACAATGCTTAGTTTCGCATGCGACTTTTAAATCGCGAAGTATATTAGGCGGGTAAACAATTGTTAATTTTGCTACGTACCATGGCAAGATGTTCTTGTACTAATGTTACATATTGTATAGTTACTAACGTAACGTCTACTATGAGTATACTGTCAAGTCCTTTTCGTATAACAAGAGCATAGATTATATTGTTTTTAGTATAGATTTTAAAACCTATTTAGACGGTCACGGGTCACATCAATTTAAGACCCTTTATTGTGCGTCTTTTACAGTTCATAACAATGTATTATCACACTCACAATGGTCAATAAATATCTGTGTGTTTGGTCGCATGCATAATGTGGTCATAGTGTTAGCCAATGCAATGTCCGATTTCTTCTCACATTATTCCATTAAACGTTTCATAACTATAATAAAGCACCATGACATTTATTACAATTGACGTATTTGCATCGTTAAAATTACGTTACATACAGAACAAATTCTTAAATATGTAATCTACAAACTTGTCTATAAAATAAGAAGCTGACTGAACAATATACCGATTTCATATTCATACTTTCATTACCTCATATGAACATTTGCGGAGCAAAAAAAAATCCTTTGAATGAGTTATTTGACATATTTATATGTCCACTTTTGAGTTCATATAATTATGCATCTTTTTCGGCATTATCAGATCGTTTTCCTGCCAGTTAAATTGTAAAATAATCTTGGTTATTTATAAAGTTGGTAGGTCAACAAACTGTTGTACATAAGGGCATGTGTGACGCACGTTTGTTCTATAACCGCATATGTGTATATCCAAGCTGCGGCATTTCAATACTTCCTTATTTTTATTCCTGCCCTATGGATGACTTTCGCTTTGCGATCTACATAGTTATAAATGTAGTCGTGCAATGACCATTGGCAACTAATAAAATATATAAGTACAGGTTAATCATAAATATATGTATAATAAAAGACCAGACTTGTTATCTTTTTCTTCATATTTATAACTCCCAAGGTAACAACATTTAAAAGTAATACAATGTTTACAAGTAATTCGTATATCGGAAGCAATTTAACATATGCATGGATTCCTTCTCGAATTATATTTAAACTATGTTTGTTTCATATTATATGCTTTAAAGAATGATTCGTCCTTTATTAATATCTCAACTTAGTTACAAAATTGAACATTAGTAATTCGGTTAGGTCTTATTTATTGTAATAGGCCCACCTTTAATTTAAAATTAAATAATTTTTCGGATTAATATTTTAAGAGAAATGTAACACCAAGGGCGGATCCAGCTTTGGCGCCAAAGGCCGGGGTCACCTAGTCGTGGTCCAGGGGGGTCATGACCCCCCCCCCTGGTGCCGCCCTTGTGTAACATTTATTTAATTAGAATCTAAATAATATAACATAGAATAGAAATAATATCAAATAGAAAAAAATAACAGTGGTAGAGCCCGCTTGAACATCTCCGCACAAGTGGGCCGGCTCGCCCTGTGTAATACCACGACCACACAGAAAACAGGCGTGAAGTGGAACCAATTCCGCGTTTCGTCTGATGAATGTGGTGCCGGAAGCCTAATTTTGGTCCCTTTCCCTTTCCACCCTTTTCTTAAGAGGAAAGGATGGGAAGGAAAAGTGGATTTGACGGTTGAGGAGACGCATAGGAAGGGGAAATGTCCTCTTTATGTGCGTCTCCGCCTCCGTTAATTAAGGGTAGGCAACGCATCTGCAATTGCGAATTTTTATGGGCAGCGATCACATTTCGGTGGATTCAGGTGGCCGCTTGCTCGTTTGCCAAATTAATTTAAAAAAAAAATCCAGTCATTATTCATAATATGTTAAAACCATCTTGATCTAAGAAAAAAGTAAAGGATGCATCTGCAATAATCTTTATCAATATGCGTTACAACTCATTTTTAATATGCCATATAAAAGATTCAACTAAGAATGCTAACTAAATGTATTTCAATTATAGTTAATACTTTTCTGAATACTACTTAATTGCTTATTGAATCACAATCGGTTTTAACGTCAATTGTTTTGCAATTTGTATAAATTTTTGTTTTACATAATATGAAATATGAGGTCTGTAAAGAGCGACGCGTATTGTTTAACAGCAATGCAAAATTAGCCATCCATTCTGGCAATCTATTGATTTATGACGCGTTTTAAAATGGAGAAATATTCGATCACGACACGATCGTTATATAAGATTACGAATGACACTACGGGGCCAGAGGTAATCAGAATTACTCTCAAAGGTCCCCCTCATTGCATTTGCTTATATAACGTCCTAGTCTATTGATCAATCGATAATATTTTAAACCAGTTATTATTACCCCTACAGGAGAACTAGAACGGTATATTTCAACCCTTAAAGTATTTAAATATTATTTCATTATCACATCATCACCAGCTCACTGAACGTCCCAACTGAGGGGCTCGGTGCTTACCCTAAGTTAGCGTGACTAGGCCATAGTACACCACGCTGTCCCAATGCAGGCTGACTTCTCACATATCTTTGAATTTCTTCACTGATATGTGCAGGTTGCATCACGATGTTTTCTCCATCGTAAGAACGTCGGGTAAATTATGTACATATGAGAATTCGAAAATCACTTTGGTACATGGCGGGATTCGAACTCAAGACCTGTAGATTATAAGTCAAGTGCTGGAACCACTGAGCCACCGACGCTCCAAATCCAAATATTATTTAATTTGTCTAAATGCAATTATTAACTAACACTAATATAATTTCGGTGGATGTGATATTTTAATGAAGCTTTTTGTAGAACATTAACGTCAGAAAAGATTATTCAGACTTTTGACATAATTTGACTTTTTAACTTGCGCCGCAGGATTAGCTATTAAAGTATGTAGTATTAAGTTATCCGTAATTCATTATATAAGAAATGTTATGTTTGTCAAATATAATTATCTATAGAGGCATAAGATTCCTGAATATAAATATCAACTTTGGCGTAACCTTAACCTTAACCCACATCAAACATAAATTGATGGACCAAATAACAACTTTTATAATACTGAATTTATTATTCAAAAATTCAAATTCTTGAGATTTATAATTATTAAATAGAGACAGGATATAACGTAGTCATTAGTATTATATAATTATGGGCATGTGATTCGATTTAAAAAATAAACTATTGGTTACAAGGATAAAGGAGTCTTCACATTTTGCTTTTTTAATTACTGGCGTACAGCGACGGATTTGCAGATTTCGCCACCCTGTAGTACTTTCTGACCCTTTCTTAACAACCTTTGCTAAAATGATAGCTTACATACATTCTATATTAGCTGCCTTTTTTATCTAGTCGATCTAAGACAAGGCCTACTGGACAGTAAATTAAATCCGCTTCTGAAGTCCCATTTCACATCATACAATACACCATCTTTCAAAATAGCTATGAAACAACTTTATTTTATGTATAAAGTTAAGATTGAATGTTTGTTGGCTTTCTAATTTCATATTATGTTAACAGATGGCGCTTTATTGTACGTGTTTGAAAGTTTATTGATTGCGGTGTTTTTTTACGTTACATTTAAGAGATGGCGTTGTTTAACTATTGATGAACAATGAATGTTATGTGTAACTTCGGGTGTAACTTCAGGCGTGAAAAACTGTTGCGTAATGTTTTTTGAGTGTAAATAGGTTGTAATAGTGTGTGAAGTAGGTTTGTTTTAGGCGTAATGCTTTGGAGAACAGGCAGAGTCCTACCCTGTATTGTATAGCCGAGGGTTCCGATGCGTTCTTTGATGATTTTGGAAATACTTTTTATCGCACTCGAAATAGTCTCCGAGGAGGTTTTTGAGGGAAAACTCCACATAACTGGGAGACGGCAACGTATCTTTTGAAGACTTCCCGCCCGATATCAAAAAGGCATGTTTTTGTCAATTATCACTGAACTGTACTCTTCCACTGCGGATATTTGTACCCAAAACTGTTTCATGATTTTGAAATGCAAGCAGTGATTATATTCATATACCCCACACATTCTTCCTGTAAGTTGTTATGAAAAACTATTAAGCATCGAATAATTAGATTTCAATCATGTCTAATCTGTCAGCTTTTTTACACCTTTAGTTATAATGAACAATCGTCAATTTAATTATCTTTTAACTATTGGAGAATATAAAATTACATCATGATAATTAATTTACTTGAGAGACCTTAAGGTCGCAACGAACATATGCCACTCAGACTGTCTGTTAGTTGTCTTAAACACCAAAGAAATTTGATAGCATACAATTAATTTAGATTGTATAACTAGGTATGAGTTCGAACTTTGCACGTGCATTTTACTATAAGCAATACAAAAACAATTTTAATTTTTAAGTAGATCCTTTTCTTTTGAAGTTCGGCGATCCTTAGGGCAACTTCGAAAGATGGCACTTTAAGAAGAAGTAGTAGATCCTCATTCGTTATCGTTTTGTAACATGAGATTTTTACATACATCTAAAATATGATTTATCTCTTCAGACACAATCGTAGATAAACCATTTAATTTCCTTAGATACTGTTCAGGTCCAGCACAATTTTTTGATATTCAGTCACAGATAAATACTCAAATGATATGAGTATAAAAACAAAAAATCTGCCTAATTTCCAAACAATTTTTAAAAGACGTCTGTTTTGAATGTGGTAAAATACGCACTAAGGTTATTTTATTTATAGTATCTTTGAGAAAAGAAATATAATCGAAACATAAAATTACCAGAGTAATGGTTTAGGTGTATTTATTTATTTTCTTCTTTAAGTATACGAAGAGAATGGTAATCAAGTAAAGATTAGGTGTTAGAATGTTGCTATGAAGTTTATTTCGACTAATCTAACGTCGTTTATCTTATGGTAATCAAACAACAATTTATTTTTGTACTTCAATTATATTTATAAATCTTGTATATTCCTAATAATATAAAATACATCACAGTAACAAATCGCTATACTTAATTGTATCATGTTTTGACTGATACACTAGAAGGTACGTTGCGTTGATCGGTAGAGGGCGTTTCGTTGAGATCTAACCTCTGAAAGGTTGCTGTTGGAACACTTGCTGGGGCTGTTGGGGTTGGGATTGGATGTACTGGAGAGCACGGGCAATGGCTTCGGGGATCGGAGGTGGGGTGGGAAGATGAGCGCCTTCCGCACGGAAACCTGTGGAATAAAAAATAGTTTTTACATTAAAATTACATCCAACGCCTGCCAGAAACGTCGATGCAAAAAATATTCTGACTAACATTGCCATTAACATGAAAATGTATTAAAAATCGTAGTAGTAAGGAATACCGAGGCTGTTTCCTATCACCACAAATCTAGAACCTTAGTTTTTGACAAAAGATATAAATATTTTTTAAGATATGTAAACTTTAAAACAATCTTGTTAGAGTAAAATATGCAAATGTCTGATATTCCTCCATGAATAATAATGTATGATGAGATCTGTTAAATCTTTACGTTCTGCATCATGCAT